AAGCTGTCTCACTGGTATGTGGTATTGAGGCAAAACAGGACATGCAAACCTCTCTCGTACCATGAACATTTCTTGTTTGGGGCAGGGTTTACTGAGTCTGGACCTTCATATTTCTGAATCTTTGATTACTGGAAACAGAGATAAAACAGCACGTCTCAGACTGCCAGACATGTGGCTCTGGGGAAGCCCTGTCTTGGTTCTGGAAAGGATCTGTGGGTCAAGCAGATGGATGTCCCTGTCTTGGGTGAGCCCCAGATGTTGGTGAATAATCTAAAGGCAAAGAACTCAGGCAGGAATACTAAGGATTCTGTTTATAAAACAATAAATAATATCGCAAAGCCACTCACTCCAACAAGTACGAGCTGAAGGTTGAAGTTAGCGAATATTTTCGATTAGAGATGTATTTCCCCACGCCCACCCTCACCCCCTTCCTGCCGCCACACAGGCCCTCATCTGCCTGGTACTTATATGAGGCTCACCTCCTGGGTCTCATCTCTGTGACTTAGGGTTTTTGGGAGAAACATGGACACAACTATTCAGTCATTTGGATATTGGCTTATTTATTTATTTTTTTCAGAGTCAGGGTATCACTCTGTTGCCCAGGCTGGAGTGCGGTGGCATAATTACGGTTCATTACAGCCTCAACTTCCTGGGCTCAGGTGATCCTCCTGCCTCAACCTCCCAAGCGGCTGGGCCTATAGGCATGCACTGCCATGCCTGGCTCATTTTTTTTAAATTTCCGTAGCGACAAGGTCTCGTTATGTTGCCAGGCTGGTCTTGAACTCCTGGGCTCAAGCGATCTTCCTGCCTTGGCCTCCCAGCTGGAATTACAGGCATGAGCCACTGCGCCTGGCCTGACAATTATTTTTTAAGAAAGAGATGTGAATGTTTCCCTTCGACTCTTAGAAACACAAGTCAGGAAACTAGAAGCAGTTGTATGCTGGACACCACGCGCACAGATAGGTGAGAGACCACTGACCGTGTCTCTTCTGACTCCACACCCCATAACAGTAAGTGGGTAATTTGAAATCAGTCACGGCGGAAGCATTTACACCACAGAAACTGGCAAAACTCCAAGTCAGGATCCTGTCTCTCCAGGCAGTTCTTAAACATTTATCTGCACACACAGCTTTGGTGACTTTCTGGAGCTGCATTGGCATCGAGACCAGGGTTTTAAGTCTGGCATCTGAAAAAAACAATGCTGTGTGGCTTTGGAAAAATAGCATCCCCTCTCTGATCTCACGTTCCTCCTTTATGAAATGAAGAGAGTGGGGGCGTGGGGGGATTACATCTGTCTGTCAAGCATCAGACAATTCAGAAAGTTGAGCGGGCAAGTGAGATGGTTCAGATCCAGGCGCCCTCCAGTGACGTGTGCACCATGGTGGCTGGGCCGGGTGTGTCCTCAGGACTTGGCACAGCCTGGGCACAGAGCAGGTACCCACACCATGTGCTGAGAGAGTCAGTGAATGCGGTATGTGGTGGCACTGCACTTCTGTGTGTTTTCCCATTGAAATAACTGCTTTTCATTTAAAACTGGCTAGCACCGGGCACAGTGCCTCACACTTGTTATCCCAACAATCCCAGCTGGGAGGCTGAGGCAGCAGGATTGCTTGAGCCCAGGAGTTTGAGACCAGCCTGGGCAACATAGCGAGGCCTCGTCGCTACAAAAAAATTTTAAAAATTAGCTGGACTCAAAAAGCAAGACCGTGGCTAGGCCTGCTGAACTATAGAATATTCCGCAAAGGTGAAACTTCAGTTTCCCCACTTGTGAATGGCAGGACAGCTTGGCTTCTTGGCTCCTCAGCCTGGCATGTCTGGGCTCTGGGCAATGGCCTGTCGCCCCTCCCATAAAAGCCAATCCCTGCGGCACTCACCTGGTGGGACCGCCTGGACCCCTCGTCCCACCCACTCTTCCCAGCTTTTCTGAGAAGCAGCAAGCACCCTGCACCTGGGATGGAAGGGAGAGGGGAAAGGCAGCAGGAGGCCTGGGTGTCATGACAAACGCGCCTATCTGGGGTTGGGAGGGAGGTGCCCCGGCAGAAGGGGAAGGTCAGGTAAGTCCTCCCACGGAGAGGCATTGGGTGGGTGCTGAGGGGTAGAGCTGAGATAAGTACTCTCTGAGCAGGGAAATTCGACCAACCCTCCCACCTCCCCTACTCTCCTCCCACCCTCCATACCTCCACCTCCCAGCCCCCCACCTCTCCCACCCCACGTCCTCAGGTCCAGCCACCTGAGCACTGACGTGAACACTGACATCCACACTTTTGTTCCCTCTCTCTCCAGAGGGACAAAAGCCAGGACAGTATCCACCCTGGACCAGGCAGAAACAAGAGGCAGCGGGATGGGGGGTGGCAGCACCCACGGGAGGAGAAGCAAGCATACCTCGGAGCCACCAGAAGGGAAGGGGAGGCCTGCAGACACAGACAAGGGAGTAGGGGCTGCTTGAGGCTGGGAGGGTGAAGGCGGGCACCAGGGCGACCAGATTGCCCGCACGGTCTGACCTCTGGAGCTTCCGCTCTGTCCACAGCACCCTCCACGGCAGGACAGAACTGTGGGACCCACTAGAGATTTGATGTCAAGAAGTACGCCGTCCTAGAGAGAAAAAGAATGAGATAGAAAGAGAGCAAGAGAAAGTGAGAGAGCAAGACAGAGAGAGTGGGGGGGGGAGAAAGGCTATATGCCTCTCTTCCCCTATCCTCCTCATATTGGCTGGGGCAGAGTCTGAGGTGGTTAGGAGAGGCTGACAAGGCCGAGTCTCAGCCATGACAAAAACACCAAAAAAGTGTTGGGACTGAAAGGAGGGAGGGGCTCACATGTTCCAGGCTGCTCCTGGGATCTGGTGCTTGACGCCCACGCGCGGTCTTCCTTCACCTTCAGGACAACCTCCAAGTGTGGCATAACCAGCCCCATGTCTGGATGCAGCTCAGGGCTGAAGCCTCTCGTCCAGGACCACGCAGGTGGTAAGGGCAGAGCCTGGCCACCAGCCACGGTGACCTAAGCCTTCCCTTCCTGTGTGGCCACCCTCCCGGGGCTGGCCTTTATTCCTCCACACCCGAGTCAGTCCCCTGCCTGCTTCCCCTTCCCACTGGGCCCAGAGCAATGTCTGGCCCACAGGTGGCCAATGGACGCTCCTAGTGACACGGGAGTGGTAGCATTTCAGGCACAGGTCTCAGGGCCGCAGGTTCTTGTTTGGTTCCGGGGCAGTTTCCCCCTCACCGCATGGAGTGACAATCTGCAGTCTCGAATGTTCTGGGACCGAGGCGTCCACCATGACCCTGCAGTGGGGCAGTGTGGTGTGGTGGGAAGGGAGCACGCTTTGGAGCCAGACCAACTGGGGTGCAATCCTGGGCAAGGAGGAGGGAACACTTACAAAATGGAGGATAGCTAGACAATGAAGTGCAGCTGAGATAGTCTGTTAAGCATGGACACTCTTCTAGATGGCCCAGACAGGAGGGGACAGAGGGGTGGGGCACCCAGCAGTGGCACAGGACACACCCCTTTCATGGATGCCCCTACTCAGCTCTGCCCCGACCTTGTGAAATTTTCCTCTGAGCCACCTTCGGCTGGATGACAAACTTCTCCCCACCTACTGTGGGCTTCTAGTGACAGAAACTCAATTCAAACTGGCATAAACCAAAAAAGGGGTACCTTGAGGGATACCGAAGCAACTCAAAGAATCAATGGAATAGCTGAGCAACCCGGAAGATGGAGACCAGGGCAGGTCCCAGGATTCTGGGGCCTGGAACCCCATCAGTGCTTCCTGTTTCTCTCCATGGGGTGGCTTCATTCTCTGCCTTTCTCCATCAGACTGGACCTGTGGCCATCCCCAGGCTCCAACCTTGCATCTTCTCAGCTTCTGGGAAGCAAAAGGTCTCTTGGTGACCGTTGAAGTGAAAAGTCCCAGGGAAGGTCTCCGATTGGCCCAACTCATGTCAGATGACCTGCTCTGGACCAATCACTGTGTGGCCAGGGAGGCAAGTTCATGCAAGAAGATGGCAGCTCTGGTGCAGTCCATATGTAGAAGTGGGCTGAGCACAGGTCCCCCAAAGGGAATGCTGCTTCCAGAAGGAGGGGGGGTGGGAGGGTTGCTGAGTTAACCAAACACCAGGAGGCCCTTTCCTCTTGTGAGAAAAGGCATTTGCAGAGCTCTAAGCCTGGCTGCCTGCCTTTCAGAGCTGAAGGAAACCAACCCCCATTTGTGCTGCTTGGGTGGGCATGGTGGCACAGAGGGAAATATCAGAGCATCTCATGCTGCCGTTTTGAGAAAAGCCTTTTCATCCACAGCTCCAGAGTTTTCCTCCCAAGGGTTTTGTGACTGGTGCTTCTGTCCTTCCACTTCCCAGACGAGCTACTGAGGCCCACATGACTTGCCTAAGGTTATCCAGCAAGTCAGGAGCAGAGCTAGGCTCAGAACTCGGCTTTCCTGACTCTGAGGTGCTGTGGGAAGTTTGTGCAGGGACCAAGGTGGGACATGAGCCTGGCTCCAGGCCCTGAGCCCTGCTGGGACCTCCATCCAGGAGGGGAGAACTGGACCGTGGTCAGCGACATGCAAAGACCTGCCTGTCCATCTGCAGGCATTAGCAGAGCGCTCACTGTGGGGCAGGCTCAGGACCAGAAGATCACACATGCCCCCCTAAAAAACGATGTGGCGAGTGCAGGGGGAGGAGAACCTGGCTTGAGTGGGAGGGGGGAGGGAGCTGGCCAAGGGGGCTGCTCAGAGGAAGTCGCCCTTTTGCTGGATCTGAAAGGGTGAGCTAGGCGAGGAGGAAGGAGTAGAAGGGTCAAGGGAACAGCAGCTGCAAAGGTGCAGAGGCAAGGGAAGGCAAGGATTCCCTATGTCCTGACTCCCGGAGCAGCAGTGCCTCCACACTGAGTAGTTTGCTTGTACCACAGTGTTCTCCTCCCAAGGTCGACCAACGACCCCCATCATACTCCGGGTAGAGGCCTACAGCCCTCTGGCCGTGCAGTGCACCTGGTGACAGGCTCTGCCTCTGTTTCAGAGTCTCGGCGAAGGACGATCTTCGAGTACCACCGTGTGGAGCTGGATCCCAGCAAGATCACCAGCATGTCGGCCATGGAATTCACCCCGTTGCCAAGTGAGTAGGGTCCGTGGAATGAGAGGGGCATCCCATCATCCTGGAAAGAGCTTCGGGGTCGAGCAGACTGGGTTCAGGTCCCAGGCCCACCAAGGACCCCTGTGGGGCGTGGTCGCCCAACGTGATGAGGCCTCCATTTCTCTCGTGTTTGTTTTCGTTTTGTTTTGTTTTGAAATTTGAGTCAGGATCTCGCGCTGTCACCCAGGCTGGAGTGCGGTGGCACAGTCATGACTCACCACAGCCTCAACCTCCTGGGCTCAGGTGATCCTCCTGCTTCAGCCTCCCCAGTAGCCAGAACTACAGGCATGTGCCGCCATGCCTGGCTACTTTTTTTTTTTTTTTTGTAGAGATGAGTTCTCACTATATCAATTCCTGGACTCAAGTGCTCTTCCCACCTTGGCCTCCCAAAGTGCTGGGATTTCAGGCGTGAGCCACCGCACCCAGCTCCATTCCTCTTGTGTAACCTGGGCTCGATGCCACCTTCCTCCCAGAGCTGTGGTGAGGGTTGGAACCACCTAGGTGGCGTTGAGTATGTCAGCGGCAGCTCTAACACTGACTGGACCCTCCCAGGCCTGGGGTGGGGTCCAAGCTTGATAGCAGGCCAGCCCTTGTTATTCACACGTAATTTAAGCCCAGGAAGGCCATGCCTCTGGGATCCTTTAGACTGAGCCTCAGAAAAGGCAAGCCAGGAACTGGACCAGTCTGTGGTTTGTGACTATGTTTTTCCTAGAGGAGGCAATGCTGGCATCCACAGGCAGGAGGCAAGGAGAGGATTTAGCAGGTGGCCTCCACAAGCCACAGGGCTCCCCACTCCCCCACACTGAAGACAGCCAGGGCATCCTGCTGCTGAGGGGCCGGATGCCCTGGGATGGGGTCGGGACAGCTGGCGGGAGTGTGGGAAGGAGGACAGCATGTCCACTCTTGTCATGTTAAGACGGTCTCACTTCCTCTCCCGCTGCACCACGCCTCCCAGCTTCCCCCAGGAACCATGGCACTCTCCCTGCTCCTGCGGCCTTTCTTGCTCTTCCCCCCGCCCCTGCCCTGCTTCCTCTTCCCTGGAGTCCTGGGAGCAAGGGCTGGAGAAAGAAGAGGAGAGGGAAGACGGGTCTTCTCGAACGTGAGGGCTCAACAGGTTTCTTTCCCTTGAGAGGAGGAAAGACCCAGACACCCAGGAGGGTCCCAGGGATAGGCTCCCTTGCAGGTCTCAGCACCCCCAAACCGGCCGCCTTCCGTCAAGGTGTGAGGCCCGGGGCCTGAGAGCCGGGAGTTCCTCAGGGGCTGGTGGGAGAGGCCTCATGTCCTGGGACGTGGATAAGCGGACTTAGGAGCAAGGACGTCCACGGGCAGGGCCAGAGCAGTGGAACAATCTGGGGCTGTTTCTGGGACACTGTCTGTACGTTTAAGGCCCTGCCCACCCCTGCGGTGAATATTGTGAGCGTTTCATAGCACAGGACTTCAAGGAAGAAAGATGAGCAGGTGTTAGGAGTCCCCCATGAGGCTCCTGGGGGTTTTCTGTGGTCAGTTAAGCCAGAGCCTTCGAAGGGGCCTCCACAGTCAGTGGGAAAGGCAAGGCCGGGGCCCCCAGGGGGAAGCCTTGAGCGGGGAGGGGCTGTGCTAGCCAGGCGGGGACTTGAGCTCCTGGGAGCCCAGTTGGCTTCATCTTGAGAAAACTCTCCATCACTCGGCTCTTCCCTCGTCGTGTGGTGTGGGGAAAACTTCGCCAGGCTGCTTCAGAGCGGCAGGTGGCTTGTCTCCAAACCATCACACTCCACGGCTGGTCCCTCCTGGTCTCTCTTCCAGGTGAGGCCCATGAAGAGGTGGCCTGGGGTGAGGGTGGATCTGGGGCAAGGAGAACCCATGGAGAACCTCAAGGCTAAGAGCTCAGCTCTAGACTCTGTGGGACTTTGGCTCAAATCCAGACGTGACCCTCTTGGCTCCATGACTCCCTCCAAGGCGCAGGTCCCTCCTCTGTAAAATGGGGATTAAGAGCATGTACATGTCCATTCAACATGCCATGTGCCAGGCTCGGTTCTAGACCCCTGAATACACAGGGAACAAGACAGCCAGGGAGTGCTCATCCTTCCCTCAGGGCAGTCCCTGCCCTTTCCTGCCTACAGTTCTCCATCCGCCCTTCCGGGGCCTTGGACCCCATGGCAGACAGAGACATGGTCGCCAACTGCCAGTCCCTCCCGAGTGACTGAAGGTAGCCACTCTGCCTATACACCAAGGGCTGCTTGCTTCCCAGCCGCCATCTTGTTGGGAGTTCCATGTCATGCCAAGTGGCTCTATAATTGCTGAACTGTGGTGTAAGTCACAAGAAAACTCACACAGGAGGATGTGCGGGTAATGTCTATCCAAGGAGCCGTCATTGCGGTTAGTTGTCACTTCTTGCCATGATCAAGGTTCCCGCTCATCCACTTCTAAGAGAAGCCCCCCATTGCACACAGGTGTTCTGGGTGAGCACCTGTCTCTCTCTGCAGTCAAATGCCGGGCTTTGTGACAGTGACTTGCCACTCAGAGGTCGTCTGGTTCACACAAGTGCACGGCATTTGACTGCAAGTGAATGGCTCTTCAATCCCGCCCCCACACCTTCCGCCCCCACTGCCCTTGGCTGCTCTCTGCCTGGCCGGTGCCAGGAGGGTCTACAGCCCCTCCAGCCACCTGCTCTCACGGATCCCTGCTCTCTGACTCTGTCCTGCCCCGGTGGGACCCCAGCTGTGGCTTCCTCCTCCCTCCTACCACTTTCGGCCTCTCCACTCTGTGCAGCCTGTCAGGGGTTCTGGCTGCTGCCCATCTGGGCTGCGCCCCTCCCGGCTCTGCACATGGGACCTTTCTGCCTTGTCTTCCCCTCCCCCGGGAGAGCTGCTTCCTCTGCCTGGCCCAAATGTTAGGAGTAGGCAGTGAGAGCTCCCAGCTAGCACTGGATGGCTAACCCGAGCACTGGTTTTGGCGGGGGGTGGGGTGGGGGGTTGGGTTGTTGTTGTTGTTTTTTGAGTTAGAGTCTCACTCTTTCGCCCAGAGTGCAGTGGCACAATCACGGCCACCGCAGCCTTGACTTGCTGGGTTTGGGCAACCCTTCTGTCTCAGCCCTTCAAGTAGCTGGAACTACAGACACATGTCACCAGGCCCAGCTAGTTTTTGTGATTTATTGTGGAGACGAGGTCTCACCAAGTTGCCCAGGCTGGTCTCGAACCCCTGGACTCAGGCAATCCTCTTGCCTCCACCTCCCAAAGTGATGGGATTATAGACATGAACTTCTATTGTGTGTATTAAGTTATACAACATGATATTACAGGATACTTACAGATAGTGAAAAGGTTACCACAGTGAAGAAAATTAACACATGCATCATCTCACATTGTTGTCCTTTTTTGTTCTTATAGCAAGAACAGTTGAAATCTCATTGGCAAATCCCCATTACAGTACAACCTCATTACCCAGTGCTGATGTCCCTTAGAGCTCTAGACTTGTTCAGGCTACAGATCTGCTACTTTGTATCTTCTGACCTTTAAAAAATCCCTTTGACCATGTGACTGTGGGACTCATACCTGGAAGTAGAACTTGCCGGACTAGGTGAGGTCCCTTTGTACACACTCCCAGGGCCCTGAAATTTTCCTTCGCGGACCTCATGACTATTATAATTCTGTAGTCATTTTTGTGTGTTCGTCTGTTTAGTGTCTGTCTCCCCATGCGACTCTAAGCCCCAAGAAGGTAGGACCAGGTCTCCCTGCTGAATCCCCAGTTCCCCTTAAGGGCCTGAGGCCTTGGGGTTGGAGGGAAAGAAGGAAGGGAAGTGGGGAAGGAAGGAAGAAGAGGGAAAGGAAGGGAGAGAGGGAGGGAGGGGAGGAGGGAGGGAGGGAGGGAGAAATTGGGTCTTGAGTCTGGACTTGAGTAAGGTCTGGACTCAAGTAAAGGTGGCACTCACAACCTTAAGAGTTCCCTCGTGAGTCAGGGACTCCACCATGGTCTTGGGTTGCAGCCTTGGAGCTGTGCCAAGGCGCCGGGGCTGAGTGGCCGCCTTCCCTCTGCAGCCTGCCTGCAGCATCCAAGCTGCGACGCCTGCCTGTCCTCGGACCTGACCTTCAACTGCAGCTGGTGCCACGTCCTCCAGAGGTTTGTGCCCAGGGCGACCCGCTGACTCCCCTGGCAGGCCACAGATGGGGGAAGAGGGTGGCGTGGCCCCGCTCCGGGCCTCAGGTCTCATTGCCCATGGTCTGCCAACACGAGGACGTCTTCCAGCCCTAAGATGGAGAATGTTACAGACGCGAGTTTCTCCCTGAGGCTGTGGCTGATGGAGGTGTCAGTGTAGGTGGGTGCAGCCCGGGATGGGACCCAAGGATTCCAGCTCCCTCCTCACACCCAGCAGGGCTGGTTCATCCTAGAACAGGACTTCTCAACGGGGTTCTACAGCGGCAGGCATCCCAGGACTGGGTCTCCTGTTCAACATGCCCATTCCCGGCCCCACCCCAGACCCTCTACTTCAGGGTCTCTGAGGGGAGCCCAGGAAGCTGCATCTTAGCATCATGCCTCACCTGCAGACAAGTGTGAGAACTGCCAGCTCAGAGACAAGGTCTGATCCAAAGACCATGGCCACAAATGCCTCCTCAAGGGCTTTTGGGGCCTGCAGCAGGGTTTCCCGGGAGCCAGGAGCGTGCGTATGGTGGGCATCCATGGGAAGCAAAGGAGGCTGCAAAGCTGGGTTTACTTGGCTGTAGAAGCTCAGAAAATTCCTGGTGAGATTCAGTTTCAGGGATAAAGTTCTTAAATCCAGCTCGTCTTCCACTCCTTGTTCTGAAATCATTTCCTCACAGATGAGACTCAGAATTGCAGCTCTGTTCCCTGTCCAAGATAAACAAATGGCAGGTGGCGGGAGGGAAGGATTCCTTGGGGGCCAGGGTTCTCACGGGAGTGAGAAGAAGCCCTATGAACTTCAAGAGGCTTTGAGGCGATCTTGGAAATTACAGATTTACAGGCTCTGAGCTCCCATGCAGCTGTTATTCATCCGTTAGTGTCTCCTCTCTTCCTTTCCAATATCCTGGTGCAAAATAGAAGTCCTGGCCTTCATGGGCAGCCGGCCTGGCATGCAGGACATGGCTCTGGACTGGGAAAGGAGGGGAGGGGAGCTTCTTAGGCCTCCCAGGTGCTCTTCCCACCAGCTGTGCTTTTATTCACTCTCTTGGGGCCTCAGTTTGTTTGCCCTGTAAAATGGGCTGGAGTCATGTGATTCAGGGAGATTCACTGTTATTCAAGCTCCTCAAACAGCATTTTTTTCTTTAACTCCTGGTCTCAAGCAATCCTCCTGCCTCAGTCTCCCAAAGTGCTGGGATTACAGGGATGAGCCACCGTGTCCACTCATTTTTGTTTTGTTTTTGAGTCAGGGTCTCATTCTGTTCCCAGCCCGGAGTACAATGTCACGATCATGGTTCACTAAAACCTCGACCTTGGCTGGGTGCGGTGACTCATGCCTATAATCCCAGCACTTTGGGAGGTCAAGGTGAGAGGATTGCCTGCGCCCACGGGTTCAAGGCCAGCCTGGGCAACTTGGCGAGACCTCATCTCTACAATAAATAAAAAAATTAGCTGGGTGTTGTAGCGCACACCTGTAGTTATGGCTACTTGGAAAGCTGAGGCAGAAAGATCACCTGAGCCCAGGAGGTCGAGGCTGCGGTGGCTGGGAGCGTGCCACTGCACTCCAGCCTGGGCGACAGAGTGAGACTCTGACTTAAAAAAAAAAAAAATTGGTCAGCATAATCTGTCCCATATTAGAGATGCATTGATTTAAAAAGCTGACCGAAGGCCAGGCGCAATGGCTCACACCCGTAGTCCCAGCACTTTGAGAGGCTGAGGTGAGAGAATTGTCTAAGCCTATGGGTTTGAGACCAGCCTGGGCAATTTGGCAAAACCTCATCCCTACAATAAATCAAAATATTAGCCAGGCATGGTGGCATGTGCCTGTTGTTACGGTTACTTGGAAGGCTGAGGTGGAAGGATCACCTGAGCCCCGCAGGTCCAGGCTGTGGTGGCCGTGAGCATGCCACTGCACTCCAGCCTGGGCAACAGAGTGAGACTCCAACTCAAAAAACCCCTCAGCTTTCTGGGCTTAGGTGATCCTTCCACCTCAACCTCCTAAGTAGATAGGACTACAGGTATACACTACAACGCTGGGCTATTTTTAATTTTTTTAGAGATGAGATCTTGCTATGTTGCTCAGACTGGTCTCGAATTCCTGGGCTCAAGCAATCCTCCTGGCTCAACCTCCCAAAGCGGTGGAATTACAGGCATGAGCCACCACGCTGAGCCTTCCAGCAGCGTTTTTACAAAGCATCCAGGGTCCTTTGCATGAGAGTCACAGGGCTTTAGAGAGAACATATAGGGTAGACCCCAGGTTGGTTCTTCCTGGAGCTTTGCAGAGTAATATGCAGACGTGAGGCTCTTGCGATCACCTGAAGGGCTTCAAAGAATGCAGGTTCTGCCAGGCTCGGTGGCTCAGCCTGTAATCCCGCGCCTTTGGGAGGATGAGGTGAGTGGATTGCCTGAGCCCGCGAGTTCGAGACCCGCCT